TATATATATTCCTACTCACTCCATATATATATGTTCCTTTATAACTTGAATATATATATTCAAGGCATCCTGCCTGCCTCTGTCTACGTAGCTCTCAGTGAGTCAGGGTTAGGTCTGCCTGTCCTTAGTTTATTCCTCAGCTCTTAAGGGAACCAATACAGAGAAAAGAACAGCATTGGGTCATTATCTGTAGTGTCTGTACTTATTTCTATGGGTGGAGAAAGATGGGGGCTTTCCCATAGTTCCCCCAGAACTTTCCTATAGTCTGTAGCTATTCTTAGAGGGAAGTGGCAGAGGACCATAAAAACAGTGTTAGAATGGCTTTAAGAGAAGGCTCACATATCCATAGCCTTAAAAAAAACACGAGTCATTGGAAGGTAGTACAGACTTTTGTCTTTTCTATGTAATATCTTATTAAATTCTCAGAATAACCTTTTGAATAACTTTTCTCTTCCAAGTTGACACAGCAATGAGTGATAGCCTTGATTCTATCCCAGAATGATCTGCTATCAATGTCAGACTCTGTCTTTCAGACCCTGGGCAGGCCCCCAAGAAAAACTTCTGTTGGTGGGGGTGAAAGCTAATGGTGACGTTAGCAGGTGGGGATGACCTGAACTGCAAATTTGATGTCTAAAGATTTTCTTGGGAGATCCTTTGTTTTAAAGGCTTTATATAGTAAGATGATGCAAAGCAAGCAGAAGGTTTTAAACTACATAGAAGTCATGAAAGTAACTTACCATACATTTTTTCTTCTCATTGATTCCTGTGATGTATCCCGTAATAACAAACTATTAAGAAGAAAAGAGATAAAAGTTAGCAGGTAGTGTGTTTGACTCTCTTACAGTATAAATTCCTTCAGAGACCGTATTGTAATCTCTATGTCTGTGAATCTCCCCAACTATTTGGTCTCTCCCCCTGAGCATCAGGGAGGAAGGAGGGCAGGCACCGATGTAAGAAGAAATACTGTGTTGGATATGCCCAGCACTGAACAACACCCCTTTGCCAGGGTCAGTTGGGAGAGGCAGGCCCTTCTTTAAGGTCCACAAAATACCACCCAGATGTTTGCCCAGCTGGGCTCTACACAGAAAGGTAATCCTGGACTCTGGGCCTGGAAGAGGGAATGGTGAGCTGTGTCTGCTCTCAGCAGATGGAGGAAGACGTTCAGGGCAGAACTCTCTAACGGCTGGTATCAGGGCTGGAATCTAGTATAGTTATCTCAGCCACTTCTTGTATCTGGAACATAGAGTCTTGTACAACCCAAGGAAAACGGAGAACTCTGTCACCCAAAGTGGAGCCCCTTACTCATTTGAATATTCTGGGAATGAGAACTTCTGTCGGAATTGGTGTTGGACCTTGAGGACATCCGGGTCTCAGTGTTCGGGACCTCAAGGTGACACACGGAGATCAGAAAGTTACCTTTGATTCCTCCCTCCACTTCACTGCCCACAACAGATCACCACTGGATCGATTCTACCTCCAAAGCGCTCTCAAAGCTTCCCATCTCTTTCTATCTCCACTGCGGCCCATCCAGGTCAGGGAATCCCCTGGATTCTTGCAGCCTCCTTTCAGCTGATTGTCCCAGGTTTGCTGTTACCATCCTTGAATTTGTTTACAGCTCAGAAAACCCAATGATGTTTTAAAGATAACAAGTCTTCAAATGTCACTCTCCTGTTTAAAGATTATCAGTGGGTTCCCCTTGCTCTCATATTAGAGTGGCCACATTCTTTTAAAAAAATTTTTTTTTCAACGTTTATTTATTTTTTTGGGGACAGAGAGAGACAGAACATGAACGGGGGAGGGGCAGAGAGAGAGGGAGACACAGAATCGGAAACAGGCTCCAGGCTCCGAGCCATCAGCCCAGAGCCTGACGCGGGGCTCGAATTCATGGACCGCGAGATCGTGACCTGGCTGAAGTCGGACACTTAACCGACTGCGCCACCCCAGGCGCCCCTAGAGTGGCCACGTTCTTAATATGACCACAAGGGCTGGCACAACCTGGTTCCATCCTACAGTTTTGGCCTCATTTTGTGCCAGTGCCATAGACTCATTGGTCTTCTTTCTGCTGTTCTTTCCCATATCAAGCTTCTCACTCATGCTTTGCCTTTGCCAGGGGAGGCTTTCCTTGCATTTCACCCAGTGAACACCTATGTGCAAAGCACTTCGCTGACCTCCATGCCAGGTGAATGCCCCGTTAAATCTTCACAGGGCATCTGGAACTTGTCTCTTAGAGTACTTAGTGCAAGTGAAATAACGTATCTGTGGAGTCAATTTCACTTTTCCGCTTCCAGCTTCCCTATCATATGGCAAACCCCATCTGTTTCTAAGAGGAGCAATTCACCACCTCCCTAAGAGGGCCTTGTTTGCCTCTCAGCACCTACAACACTGCCAAAGATAGACTATGTGCTCAGTAAATATCTTCTCAGTGAAGAGTGGAGTTTTAAAGAGCAGCATGCCAGAACCTCACTAGAATCCATCGGTGCAGGTCACACTGAGTCACACTGGGGAAATTCTGTTGTGAAATAAGGAGGTGGGGAGTTGGTCTTTTTGTTTCTCTACAGTGTGGCATGTGTAGTTTGAAGATTATAGTTCATATTACAGTATTTCTATTTGGAAAACGAAAATACTAGTAGTTGTGTTTGACCTGGAGATTATAGAAAAAGCATGGAATATTTATGTTTGTCAAAAGAGCAGGTTTTTAATAAAAACAATAGTCTCATTTAATTATTTAATGAATTATTATTTAATTCCTTTGTTCATTGAGTTATGTCTACTATGCAGCATGGTTCTAGCTTCTGAGAATGTAACAGAAACTAAAATAGATAATACTTTTGCCATCTTGGGAGGGTATGTTCTAGTGAGGAAAGCTGTGTTGAGTGTACCCTTAAATATTGTGGCACAAGATTAGGAACCAGAGCTGTTGGGATTGAATGGAACTAGCAGTACACTAAGAATTATAATTATGGCTCTATAAATAACTAGATGAGTGACACTCATAAAATTGTCTCTGGGAATAATAAGGGGATTAAACAACAATAGTCATCTTTAAAATTCTCCTTAAGCTATGAGAGTATATGATTCTATGAGTGCTAGCTAGATATGTTTACCTTATTATCTGTTCTTGAGATTAAACAACATGGTACTAAACAACTAATGGGTCAATGAAGCAGTCAAAGAATAAGCTTTAAAAAATCCACGGAGACAAATAAAAATGAAAATACAGTGGTCCAAAATCTTTGGGATGCAGTGAAAGCAGTTCTAAGAGGGAAATATATGGTGATACAGGCCTACGTCAAGAAGCAAGGAAAAGCTCAAATAAATAATCTAACTTAACTTTACACCTAAAGGAACTAGAAAAAGAAAACAAAGTCCAAGGTGAGTAGAAGAAGTAAATAATAAAGATCAGAGCAGAAATAAATGACATAGAGACTAAAAAACACAATAGGAAAAATCAGTGAAACCAAGAGCTGGTTCTTGGAAAAGATAAACAACATTGCTAAACCTTTAGCCAGACTCATCAAGAAAAAAAGGGGAAGGATACACATAAATAAAATCAGCAATGAGAGAGGAGAAGTAACAACTAACACCACAGAAATACAAAGGATTATAAGAGAATACCATGAAAAACTATACACCAAGAAATTGGACAACCTAGAAGAAATGGGTAGATGCCTAAAAGCACACAATCTTCCAAAACAGAATCAGGAAGAAATGGAAAATCTGAACAGGCTGATTAACAGTAATGAAATTGAGTCAGTAATATTAATAATAATAATTTTAAAAAGTGAAAGTCCAGGACCAGATGGATTCACAGGTGAATTCTACCATTTTTTTTTAAATTTTTTTTCAACGTTTGTTTATTTTTGGGACAGAGAGAGACAGAGCATGAACGGGGGAGGGGCAGAGAGAGAGGGAGACACAGAATCGGAAACAGGCTCCAGGCTCCAAGCCAGCAGCCCAGAGCCTGACGCGGGGCTCGAACTCACGGACCGCGAGATCGTGACCTGGCTGAAGTCGGACGCTTAACCGACTGCGCCACCCAGGCGCCCCCTACCAAACATTTAAAGAAGAGTTAGTATTTCTTTTTCTCAAACTATTCCAAAGAATAGAAGAGGAAAGGAAGCTTCCAAATACATTTGATAAGGACAGAATTACCTTGATACCAAAGCCAGACAAAGACACCAAAAAAAAAGGAAGACTGCAGGCCAATATCCCTGAGGAATATAGATTCAAAAATCCTCAATAAAAAAGGTGCCTGGGTGGCTCAGTCAGTTGAGCATCCAACTCTTGTCTTCAGCTCAAGTCATGCTCTTATGGTTTGTGAGTTCAAGTCCCATGTTGGGCTCTGCACTGACAGTGTGGAGCCTGCTTGGGATTCTCTGTCTTTCCCTCTGTCTCTCTCTGCCCCTCCTCCATTCTCTCTCTCTCTCTCTCTCTCTCTCTCTCTCTCTCTCTCTCTCAAAATAAATAAATAAACTCTAAAAAATTATTTAAAAAATCCTCAACAAAATATTAGTAAGCCACATTCAATAATACAGTGAAAGGATCATTCACTATGATCAAGTGAGATTTATTACAGGGATGCAAGGATCGTTCAATATTTGCAAATCAATCAACATGATACACCACATCAACAAAATGAAGGATAAAAATTACATGATTATCTCAATAGATGCAGAAAAAGCATTTGAAAAAATTCAGTACCCATTCATGATAAAAACACTCAACAAAGTGGGTTTAGAGGAACATACCTCAACATAATCAAGGCCATGTAAGAAAAGCCCATAGCTAACATCGTACTCAGTGGTGAAAAACTGAGAGCTTTTCTGCTACAATCAGGAACAAGACAAGGATGTCTACTCTCTCCACTTTTATTCAACATAATATTGGAGGTCCTAGTCAGAGCAATCAGGTAAGAAAAAGCAATAAGAGGCATCCGTATTGGTAAAGAAGAAGTTAAATGTTCACTATTTGCAGATGACCTGATACTACATGTAGAAAATATTAAAGACTCCACCAACTCCACCAAAAACAAAAAACAAAAAACAAAACAAGAACAACCAGAAGTAATACATGAATTCAGTAAAGTTTCAGGATACAAAATTAATACCCCCAAATCAGCAGTGTTTTTATACACTAGTAACAGTGCCCAAAGCCATCTACAGATTCAATGCAATCCCTATCAAAATACCAATGGCATTTTTCACAGAACCAGAACAAATAATACTAAAGCACTAAATTTGTGTGGAATCACAAAAGACCCTGAATAACCAAAGCATCTTAAGAAAGAAAAACAAAGCTGGAGGTATCACAATTTCAGATTTGAAGATATACTACAAAGTTATAGTAATCAAAACAGTATGGCACTGGCACAAAAGTGGACACATAGCTCAATAGAACAGAATGGAGACCCCAGAAATAAATCCATAATTATATGGTCAATTAATCTGTGACAAAGGAGATAAGAATATACAGTGGGAAAAAGACAGTCTCTTCAATGAGTGATGCTGGGAAAACTGGATAGCTATATGTAAAAAAAAGAATGAATGAAACTGGACTACTTTCTCTAACACCATACACAAAAATAAACTTAAAATGTATTAAATATCTAAATGTGAGACCTGAAACCATAAAAATCCTAGAAGAGAGCATAGGCAGTAATTTCTTTCACATCAGCCATAGAAACATTTTTCTGGACATGTGTCCTAAGGCAAGGGAAACAAAAGCAAAAATAAATTAGTGGGATTGCATCAAAATAAAAGCTTTTGCACAGTGAAGGAAACCATCAACAAAAATTTAAGAGACAACCTTCTGGATAGGAGAAGGCATTTGTAAATGATATATCCAATGAGGTGTTAATAACTGAAATATATAAAGAACTTCTACAACTCAACACCAAATAAAGCAAACAATATGATTTAAAAATGGGCAAAGGACTTGAATAGACATTTTCCCAAAGAAGACATATACATGGTCAATAGACACATGAAAAGATACCCAACGTTACTAATCACCAGGGAAATCAAAACCACAATGCGATATAACCTTACACCTGTTAAAATGACTAAAATAAAAGAAGACAAGAAATAACAAGTGTTGACAAGGATGTGGAGAAAAAGGAATGCTTGTACACTGTTGGTGGGGATGTAAATTGGTATAGCTACTGTGAAAAATAGTATGGAGTTTCTTCAAAAAAGTAAAAAGAGAAACACCATATGATCCAGCAATTCCACAACTGGTTATTTACTGAAAGAAAACAAAAACACTAATTCAAAAAGATAAATGCACCCCTGTGTTTATTGCAGCATTATTTGCAATAGCCAAGATATGAAAGTAACCTAAGTGTCCATCAATAGACAAAAAGAAAAGGAAGACGCAGTATATATACAATGGAATATTACACAACTATAAAAAAAGATGAGATTGTGCTATTTGAGACAGTGTGGACGGAACTAGAAGATATTATGCTTAGTGAAATAAGTCACACTGAAAAAGACAGATACCATATGATTTCACCTATATGTGGAATCTGAAAAAAAAAAAGGAATAAGCAAAACAAAAAAGCGATCCAGACCCATAAATACAGAGAACATACTGACAGTTGCCAGAGGGGAGGAGTAGGGGGAATGGAGAAATGGGTTAAGAGAAGAGGGACATACAGGCTTCCAGTTGTGGAATGAATAAATCAGAGGAATAAAAGGCACAGCATAAGGCATTCAGTCAGTGACACTGTAATAGTGTTGTATGTTGACAAATGCTAGCTACACTTGGGTGAGCACAGCATCATGTATAAACTTGTCAAATCACTATATCGTACACCTGAAACTAATGGAACATTTTTTGCTGGCTATACTCAAATAAAGACTGTCTACTCTCAACCTCCGTTTCCATATTTGCAAAAGAGAAAGTAGGATATTTACCCATCTGATCTCCCAGGTTGGTAGTAAGGAGCAGATGACTTACTCTACACACAGGGCTCTGGAAACTTTTAAACACTGTACGCCTAAGAGCAGTTATTACTGTGATGATGGTAGATGCAGTGACCAAATGGAGTTGCTTCTCTTGCCACACAAGGGACTATCTGGTCTCCTTGGGGACCACATTCATGGGATTCTTCACCCTGGGACCTGACTTGACACAGTTCAAACCAGTCTTGATAGTAATTTCGCAAAAGCTCCTAACTGGTAGTACTCACAATAAATGCTCCCCAGAATGGATATCCCGTGAGGAAAACGAGGGGAAATCTCTGGGAGAAATGGAAGTAATTGAATGCAAATATGGTTCCAACACCCGCAGTGATCAGAGCAAGCAGGATCTGGAGAGCCTGGGAGGAGAGAAATGGGTACATGAGGTCACTGGTGCCCCAGCCTCTTGGGACTCTCCCGGGCCCCTGGGACATCCCACTATGCTTATGTCACGCCTCCCTCGACACGAATGCCTTCCTCTTCCGTTTGCCCACTGCCCTCAGAGCTTCAGAAAGTCCGGTGTCTCTTCTTCTCACTTACCTGGGTCCTACAGGTTCACGTCTTTCACTTTCACCCTTCACTACTTATTATACCCCCTGTATTACCAGTTTACCTTGCGCCGGACAGATAGGAGTACATGTTTCCATATCCAGTCTGTGCTTTTGGAATTACGGCTCAGCCCCATTCTCTAAAATCTGTGAAGTTTGCTGATCTAGAGTGGAGGGGCTGGGGTGAGGTTTATGTCTCGTCTGCTCTTCCGGCAAGGGCCTGTCCAGAGGTGAGAGTAACCCAGTGGGCTCACGGGCCTGTGAGCAATCTGCACCATTGGTGGTCTGGCAGGGCTGGTGGCTCTTCTCAGGATACAGCTTCTCCTCCAGCATTCTGGGTTTTTCCCCCAGCCCACACCTCGATGGCACCACCCAAAGTGGTACTTTTACTCTTGTACTAAAGATAGAGGCTGTATACATAGCCCTCCCCTCGGTACATGCATGACTGAAAAATGTTTTGTCTGTATGTCTACGTTGTGGCTCACGGCGAAGCTTTGGAGAGACTTTTCAAAGAACCCCCATCGCCTGGAACGGCACAAAGGGGAAGTTTAACCTCTCCTCACATGGCTTTTAGCTCCAAGGGACATGCCACCACGCCCTGAGGTCACCTCCTCAATAAAATATTTGGGGAAATTATACCAGTTTCCTGCCTTTCTCTCTGCCAGGATTCAAAGAACAGTATTAACTCCACATGAAACAGCCCTAGGATTTCCTCAGGGTTAGGGAAGTTATTAATTGCAGGGTTAAATGAGCCCCCCCCCCACCAAGAAACATTTCTAAGACATGTTCATAAATAAGACATTTCTAAGGCCCTCTGCGTGCATTTCTAAACAGAATTTTTATTTCTCTTGTTCATCAAAATCTAGGAAAATGGTATTATTGGCTACATATTGGCTCTTCTGCTGAAGATCTGCTTATTTGTACAAGCAAATAACTTAGGGGTTTTTATGATTAATGAAGAAGGAAACATTGTAGGCAAAACGTGAGGGAAAAGAAAAGGAATCAAGTCCCTTCCTGTGTCTATTCAGACACACCTGGAAAAATAGCTTCTTTTCTCCCTTCCGAGGAAAACCCGTGGACAGGAGAGCACTTACCCCCAAGACTTTTGGCTCTCCCTTCAGGAAATCCAGCAGAGAGCTCTGAGGCTCATAGGGAAGGGCAGTCAGTACTGTTTCATTTGGTTGTATCATGATGTGGGATGATCTTTGGTCCTCAGATGAAGACTCCATGATTCAATGGCAGAGCTCTATTAGAAGAGTAAGTGATTGAAAAGCACAGCTAGAGTCATGGTCTTCCATTAGCCTCCCATGGAGTCCTTAGCAATGAGCCTTAGCAGTTGCCCTACTCACTCCTGCCACCACAGAATCACAGTCATTGAGTCATAGAGTCTTAGAATTCTAGAGCACATCCAGCCCCTGGGATCCACTTGTCCGGAAGACCCACTTTCTTGTCAGTTTGTGTATAAACAGGTGGCAAACACACACACACAAATAGATGGTGTACGTGAAAACAAATCCCAGTACCTATGCTCATGAGATATAAAGGAACTAAAACTTACGGAATGTCTATTCTGTCCTAGATTCTGTAGATAGTGTTTTGTTTTGGTATCTGTTAACGTTTAGTCTTTTAACAGTTCTATAGTGCTGAAACTGAGGTACAGAAGATTACATTGCCCAAAGTAACATACTAATGGGTAGGGAAAGGAGCCAGACTCCACTTGTCTGTCTCTAAAATTTGTGTTTTTTCCACCCTCTTCCGAAAGGCCTAAAGCTCATCCTACTCAAGGTCTTTCTGGTTTAAACAATACAAGTATGATGAAAGGAACAAAAAGTGCCTTTTGGAATTTTGCTTTTCATGTTTAATTCTTTGTAGTCCTGTATTTGTTATGATTTTAAGTATTAAACCATAAAGGCGAATGGTTTCACAAACTCAAAAACCATGTATGTACAAATGTCATCTTGAGTATTTCCTAGTTGGTGGCAACCATGGCCAGCAGGGTCTCTCAGCCTCGGCACTGCTGGCATTTGGGGCCTGATAATTCTTGGTTGTGGTGACCTGTCCTGTGCACTGTAGGATACTTGGCAGCGTCTGTGGCCCCTGCTCATTAGATGCCGGTCCCACGTCCCAGCTATGACAACCCAGATTGTCTCCGGACATTGCCAGATGTCCTTTGGGGGTGGGGAACAAAATCATTTCAGGATGAGAACCACTGACGTAGAGAAATAATTGCAGACTGTGTTCTTTGTTTTTTTTTCCTGATAGAATGACTCCTTTTCACATCCAGACTCCAGAGAGAGTATGTATTTCTCAATACAGCATTTTTCTTTTTTTTTTTAATTTTTTTTTCAATGTTTATTTATTTTTGGGACAGAGAGAGACAGAGCATGAACGGGGGAGGGCCAGAGAGAGAGGGAGACACAGAATCGGAAACAGGCTCCAGGCTCTGAGCCATCAGCCCAGAGCCTGACGCGGGGCTCGAACCCACGGACCGCGAGATCGTGACCTGGCTGAAGTCGGACGCTTAACTGACTGCGCCACCCAGGCACCCCATTACAGCATTTTTCTGCCAACATTTATTCAGATATATTTTAATTTAGGCGCCCAAGGTGCAACGCCACATTTTATTTTATTTTATTTTATTTTATTTTATTTTATTTTATTATTTTTCAAATTTACATCCAAGTTAGTTAGCATTTAGTGCAACAATGATTTCAGGAGTAGATTCCTTAGTGCCTCTTACCCATTTAGCCCATTCCCCCTCCCACAACCCCTCCAGTAACCCTCAGTTTGTTCTCCATATTTAGGAGTCTCTTATGTTTTGTCCCCCTCCCTGTTTTTACATTCTTTTTGCTTCCCTTCCCTTGTGTTCTTCTGTTCTGTGTCTTAAAGTCCTCATATGAGTGAAGTCATGTGATTTTTGTCTTTCTCTGACTGACTAATTTCACTTAGCATAATACCCTCCAGTTCCATCCATATAGTTGCAAATGGCAAAATTTCATTCTTTGGATTGCTGAGTAATACTCCATTATATGAGTATATGAGTATATGAGATATATATATAACATAATTATATATAATATATTATTATATAATGTAATTATATAATAATAGAATAATATATATTAAATATATATTTATATATAATAATATAATATTATATGTAATATAATATAATAATATAATATATATTATTATATGGTATATAATATAATAATATATAATATATATATAATTATATATATATAATATAAGCACATCTTCTTTATCAATTCATCCATCGATGGGCATTTGGGCTCTTTCCATACTTTGGCTATTGTCGATAGTGCTGCTATAAACATGGGGGTGCATGTGTCCCTTCAAAACAACACACCTATATCCCTTGGATAAATACCTAGTAGTGCAATTGCTGGGTCATAGGGTAGTTTTATTTTTAGTTTTTTGAGAAACCTCCATCCTGTTTTCCAGAGTAGCTGCACCAGCTTGCATTCCCACCAACAGTGCAAAAGAGATCCTCTCTCCGCATCCTCGCCAACATCTGTTGTTGCCTGAGTTGTTCGTGTTAGCCATTCTGACAGCTATAAGGTGGTATCTCATGGTGGTTTTGATTTGTATTTCCCTGATGATGAGTGATGTGGAGCATTTTTTCATGTGTCGGTTGGCCATCTGGATGTCTTCTTTGGAGAAGTGTCTATTCATGTCTTTTGGCAAGGCAACCTTTTAAACGAAACAAAGTGTGGGACAGGTCTGTACTTAAATTCTAACCAGAAGTGACAGATCACCAGAATCACGTGGAGAAGTCGTGAAAAGCATGCCGTGGCAATAAAAGGGAGGTGGACCCAGGGCAGTGCTGACTGACACTGCAGCCACACTCTGCAAGAAAAGCACCTGTTACCAACCATTGTGATTATTTGACGATCAAGGAATTACAATAGATTAAGCATTTTGTAACCTGACATGTTGGTTTGCCATTCACACACAGATATTTTATTGCCTTTTATTTAACATTTGGGGAAATTGTATGGGAGCTTGGGCTGACTAATAGCATATGGTTTTTCCTGTAAAATGATGCGAAAGAAGCGTGTTCATGAAGAATACCTGATTTTTAGGAAAGAATAACTGATGATAAACAGGAGACACTTACAATTTTATCTGCCTTGGTCCTTTCAAAAAAACACATCTCCTTTTATTGTTTTGAGAAGGTTATAGTTGTCAGCCTCTGCCTTTTCCCCCTGCTTCTTCTTAAAGATGGGTCCTTTGATAATATTTCAGTCTATGAATTCAGACGAGAAGGCAGAAACTAGCCTATTCCACGGAGAGGCGAGGTGAGAGGATCTCTGTGGGACAGCTGCCAACAGGATGATATTCTTTGGGTGGAAATGATATTCCCTCTATTCCCTCTTGCTTTCAACCTGCAGAAGACCACTCTTAGCGTTTGGCAGGAAACATTTAGCACTTAGCATGTGCCAATGCTGTTTTAAATAACATGAGATACTCCCTCCCTAGAGTCACCCTTGTGCACGTGCTACCATGTCACTCTCGCAACTTTAGGTGGTAGGTTTTATTATCACACCCATTTTAAAGAGGAAACAGGTCCAACGTTAATGCTGGTAAGGGTTGAGGCCGAAATTTGAGCTTGGCTTTCCCTTACATCTTCCATGCAACAATCTAGTGTGTGTGTTCTTTTTTTTTTTTTTTAAGTTTATTTATTTTGAGAGAGAGGGGTGCGGGGAGTGAGAGAGGGAGAGAGAAAAAATGTGAGCAGGGGAGGGGCAGAAAGAGAGAATTTCAGGGAGGCTCCGAGCTGTCAGTATAGAGCCCGATGCGAGGCTTGAGCCAAAACCGAGAGTCAGACACTTAACTGAGCCACCCAGATGCCCCTGTATTCGTTTTTTTTTTTTTTAAATTACAATTAACTACCACAAATACAGTGGCTCAAAACAACACACAAATGTGTTATCTTACCATTTTCATGGATCAGGGGTTGAAGCAGGGCCTAGCTGAGAGGCTTTGTTCAGGGTCTCACATGGATACCTATCATCAAGGTGTCAGACAGGCCGTATTTTCATCTGTAGTCTCAAGTGGGCAAAACCTACTTCCAAGCACGGTCAGGTTATTGACAGAATTTATTTCCTTGTGGTTGTATGACTCAGGGCCCTGGGTTTTGCTGGTTGGCTGCCCTCAGTTCCCTGCTTTCTCAACATGACCGCTCCCATCAGGCCACCGGGGAGTATCTTCACCCATGCTGGTTAAGATGGGAAGAAGGATAAAGAACTCGTGGTATGGATTTGAGTATGTGTGGCTCAGCCAGTAATTGTGAGTTACCTTTTGGGGAACCTGCAACTTTATTCTAAAACGTTGAGAGAACACAGAGTTCTAATATGTATGTTAAATATGTGCAATGTCTGCTTAGACTTGGTCGAAAGTGTTCACTCCTTTTCTTGCCGAGAATTTATTAGACCTTCTTGGTAGTGGTTCTTGCCTGATTGAGTTCCCAAAGTGAATACAGTAGTGAGACAAAAGAGGGAGTAAAAAATAACGCCCAAATCCCTAGCTTTAGAGATTGAACAGATGGACATGCCATTTATGAAAGACGACCAGGTGGGGGGAGTGGAGGGAAGTTGCAAATGAAACACACAATGTCTTGACTGCACCTGCTGTCAGTTTGGAATATTATTCCAGATAATTCTGAATATATGCCAGATAGTATTATTTGAAATCTTTTTGAAATCTTATTCCAGATAATTCTAAATATAGTTCTCCAGATATTCTTAAGAACCTTTCTGTTGCCAGAGAAACAAACAAATAAGAAATGGATCCTGGATTAAATATTTTAGGGGCTCCTGGGTGGCTCAGTCGGTTGAGCGACCGACTTCGGCTCAGGTCATGATCTCACGGTTTGTGAGTTTGAGCCCCGTGTCGGACTCTATGCTGACGGCTCAGAGCCTGGAGCCTGCTTCAGATTCTGTGTCTCCCTCTCTCTCTGCCCCTCCCCCACTCATGCTCTGTCTCAGAAATAAATAAACATTAAAAATAAATTTAAAAAAATATTTTATTGTGTTGCTTGGCTTACAGAACAAGGAAGATTCTCCAAGGCCCTCCACCCCCAGTGTAAAAATACTAATACACACACATTTGAAAACACACAAATAGGGGTTGAAAACCTCAGAAGAGACTAGTAAGTGAGTGCCCTCACTTCTAGATTAGTGCAGGTTGACCTACAATTAACAAACAAATAAAATACGTAGTATGTCAGATCATTGTGATTTGAGGAAAAAATAAGCAAGTGACAGGGAGAGAGAGCTGTAATTTTATGTAGGTTGGTGGGGGAAGTTTTACTGAAGCTAAGCTATTTGAAGAAAGACC